GAAATATCTCTCACATAGAAAAGATAATTCTTAAAATATGGTTTTTGCCAGTAGCTATTAAAATAAAATTTTTAAAATTTACATTAGAATTTTCAATTATAGAACTTCTTACATTCATCTTTTTACTACTTAGTTGAAATTTTCATTCATTTTTTAAAATTTTCCAACATTAAATTTGTTTCATTTCTCTGGAAAGAAGAATAATACTGTCAGGAAGTTTGTGTTAAATTTTATCATTTATTAACCAGTTATTAGAACTCAGTATAGAAGTTCATATGCAAAAAATGGCTAAATATTGACACATTTAATGAGCAACAGATTATGCAATGCTTGCGTAAATCAATGCAGTTTTAGAAGTATCTTAAATTGGTTATTTTGCATTTAAGTAGGCGACATTAAATGTATAAGCCATGAAGAGCGATAGTTAATAGTTTTCTTTTTTCTTTTAGCCTTTCTGAGGTGTGATTGACATAAATTTTATTTAAGATACATAATTTAGTGATTTGATATACATGTATGTACATTGTAAAATAAATATAATGGTAATTAACATTTCTGTTATCACCATTACTCTGGTAACTACTACTTTATTCTGGTTTTTTTTGGAGGGGGGCTGGCTGAGCCCACCCTGGGGGTGGGGCTGGTGCAGCATGTGGTGCCGTGGAGTGGACCATGGTACTGTGCACTTGCCTAAGCAGGTGCCTTAGACCGCTGAGCTATCTTGCCGGCCCCCTTTTTATTTTATTATTATTATTATTTTTTTGTTTGTTTTTGGTGCCGTGGACCGAACACAGGGCTTCCAGCTTGCTAGGCAAGCATTCTACCGCTAAGTCAAATCCCTAGCCCCATCTGTTTTTTTTAATACAGTGAACTTTATAAAGATGCCACCTGTAGGCGATTTGCTAAAGGGGTGCAGACTGTCAAGTACAAGACTGATAAGTTTTGAAGATCTAATGTATAAAACATGATGGCTATAGGTAGTAATGAAAAGTGTTTATACATGAAAATGTATATACTTATACATGAAAGTGTTTAAGAGAGGGCTGGCCAGATAACTTAGCAGACTGATGCACCTGCTTAGGCAGGCACAGGGACTGGGATTCCATCCCCTACATGATGTGCTGGCCCTGCCCCTGGGGGCAAAAGAGACTGGGTGTGGTGGTGTGCACCTGTAATCCTGGGGCTTGGGAGGCTGAAAACAGGAGGATCACTGGAGTCTGATCTGTGTAGTGAGACCCTGTAGACCCTGTACTAAATACGTGAAAATAATAATAATAAAGAAAAAAGTGTTCATGAGAATAGATCTTAAGTGGATTCATCACACACACACACACACACACACACACACACACACACACACAATGCATGAATACTGGGAAGTTGTTGCTTATATGGTGAGTTTAAAATACAATGTGTTTTTAAAATTCCTATAAACTCTTTTTTTTTTGGTGGAACCGGGTATTGAACTCAGGTCTTTGTGCTTGCCAGGGAAGCACTTATTCCACTGAGCCATCTCCCCGGCCCCTCATTTTTTTTCTTTAATAATAAAGTAGGATTATCTTGTCCTGTAAAAATCATGATCTTTTGAAAACAATTAAATGTCAAATTAAAAGTGTTTTTCAATATTGTTTTGTTCTATATTTATAAAATGTAAATTTGTGTTTTTTTGGTGAATAATTTATGCACTAAATAGTTTTTATAGTAGTTTTATAGTAGTAAAACACATAGTTTCTCTACTTAGACATCTCAAATGTAGTGTGAAATAATAAAGCAAAACATATATAATTAAAGTTTTTGTAAGAGTGATTAAGTATAGGATTGTAACAAGAGAACAAGGGCCTGAAGAACCTGTGTGACAATCGGAGATGACTTTTAAACAGAGAACTCTCGTGCCAGCCATGACAGGAGTGGACAGAGCTTTCCATGCAGAGAAGGTTTTCGTGGGAGGCTGTGAGGAACGAAAGGGCTAGAGACAGAGGCAAGAGGAATAGCCCAGAGCATGAGTGCCCATGGACTCCAGCGCTCACAGTATGTGTGAGTCACAGGACAAATAACCTTTTGATGCTAGGACTGCAGACTAGATCTCTGACTCACTGGATGTTCTTTCAGCTTCTAACTGTGTCCTTCTAATTCCATTTCTTTGTTTTATTTATCTGTCCCTCCATAGATAACTAGAATGATTTAGCAGTCTATAAAAATATTGAGTCACTTGTGGATGAACACATCAAATAGTTACCTTGGAGTTAATTACAATGATTGGGAGACTATTTTAAGGCTGACACTCTGATAGTATTTCCTGTATAGAACAGTGCCTAGGAGGGAGACATCTCTAGTCAGAGGTAGCATCTTTGATCCTAAGCCTAAAATATACTGAATTGTCTGCCTTTCTTCATCTTCTCATTTTTCTATGTGTACAAATCTTGATCTTGGATATTGGTTCAGATGTCAAACTGTGTAGTTGGTAATGGAATTAAAGAAAGCTTTATTAGTTCAAATGGCTGCAATTGAATGATCCTAAGCAAGACGTATTAAGGGTAGCTTCTAAGCTCTTTTTCATTTGATTCTCTGGCATTGAATTTAACTCTGAGTTTTTAGAAGTTTTTCTGCCTTTCCCTAACCTTTGTTTCATTTTATTTTATTATCATTGTATTTTAGGGAAGGGCCTACAGGGTGTTCAGGATCTCACTATTAGATCCAACTCATAGTGATCACCCCTGTATAGCCTCCCAAGAGCTGAGATTATAGGTGTATGTCACCACACCTTGTCTCAATTGCCATGTCAGCACACCCCAGGGTTGGGGCCAGCACCGCAGGCCTGAGAATTCAATCCCCAGCCCTGTGCCTGCTTGCAGGTACTTTAATCTGCTGAGCTACTTGGCCAGCCCCCAACTTTTGTTTTGAAGGCTGCTGATTGTATGAGTATTTAGGTTTTATTTTTCTGTCACATTGTGTCCATATTTGTAAAAGAACTGTGCTGTCATGATATTTATTCATTCAACAGACTTTCTTAGTGCCATATTTATATCAGTTATTTGTGTATCATAGAGAAGGAGATGTTCTTGGATTTTGTCCTTACATGGACAAAGTTGTAAATGTGAGTCGGGGAGATTGGCATGAAGTACGTGAACAAATATAAATAGAGATTGTGTTAGGTGCTTTGAGAGAATGATTTTGTGACCTCTTTGGATTGAACCAGCAAGGAAGGAATTCTGTGTAGGTGATGTGGTATAATACTAAAAGACAAAAAGCTAGCACAGGGAAGTAGGCATAAGTAAAGACCCTAAGGACTATCCCTCTTTCAAAGATGGTGATTCTTTTTATTTTAAAATGTAAGACTGTGTACTACAAAGCTCTACCTATCTACCATTTTTAGTGACAATTGGGGGCACAAAACACAAGTTTGATTTATCCATCATGCACTTTTGGGCTTGTGTAGGAAATTTTGTATTTTCACGCTGTTTAAGTGTGATAAGAGATAAACGTGAAGTGGGTACAAAGTGATATTCTACATGTAACTGTTATACATTTAGTTAATGTTTTTTTACCTTTCAACTTTTAATGCTGGGCATTTTAAGAACTGCTGAGTTGTTAGAAAAAGTAAAAACGGGATGTCTGTAATATTGTTGGATGTTGAAGACCAAGATAAGGTAACTAGAAGCAGAAAAGACAGAAGAATAAGATGGAAGGAGGGCCAGGTAATCAGTGTGGTTGTATGAAAAGGTTGTTAAGTGTTCGTACCACTTCATAATTAATTCAGCGTTTACATGTGAAACTGTCTTGCACTGATGAACAAGTTTTCTCCACTAGATCACTTTTAGTCTAAGTTAACTTTAAGCAACATGCTTTAATGTACAGATGATTCCTGTGGGCGCTGTGCTGTATTTCACAGGCGTCACAGATGTGTCGCTAAGGAAGTAGCTTTCCAAATGCCTGAAGTTCTTTTGCTATCTTTAAATCTTTTGAAAGCCACAGGAAGTTATATCAACTCTTTGTCTTAAATGTGTTAGAAAACTGTAAGAGGAAAAGGAAGACATGGTTGATATTTACCTACTTATTTAGAAATGACTTTTTAAAAAAACACAGGAAGTTCATTTCCATATATTATCTGTGTTAACAGCTGAAGTACCTACATGACATGAGTCCAAGCTGAAAGCTAGGTTGAGAACCAGATTTTCAAAATTGGTGCATTGCTGAGTTCAGGGAAGGGGAATAAAAGCAAAACATAGAATAGCAGAAAAATCGACTTTTTCCCCCACTTACGCCTAAATAGAAAATGAGATTATATTATTTTTCTTTTGTTTTATGCATGCCAGTAACCATTTTTGTTTTATTTTAATGTGATCCTCTTTCAAAAAATATGCATGGTTCACTGAATTTTGAGTAATTTTCAGCGATCCTCTATTTTGACATGGCTTTTCTAGCTTATTTAATCAAAATTTGATAATTTACCTGTGTAAATCCAATTAACAAAGCTTTGTTAGTTTTGAAAAAACATTCATGCACAAAAGGAAAATTCAAGGCGAAGTAAAGTAGCTGAAGAAGCTTAATGAGGGCTGAAAACTTTATTGACTTTCTTCATTTAAGAATTATCTCCGTTAATGGAAATGGGTTCAATGACAGTATGTGTGGCCACACTTCGTTTTTCATTGAACCTTAGAAATGTGCATGGGGACATTGTTCACAGTATCATTTTTAAAAATAACTACATAAATAGAGAAAGTCATTCCATATACTGTTTTCCTATGAACATTGCCAAAGTCTTTATCTAATCCTAGGCTATTGTTGTCTACCTTCCTTAAAAGCAAATGAGGAAAA